TGCAGGTCTCCAGTAGGCATCGGGGTGAGTTAATGGTGAGTTGGGGTGAGATAATGGTGAGTTAGTGAGGTGGTCCGATGGAATGTAGTGAAGGTCAGGTAAACTGTGCGGCATGGTGGTTACAGCAACTAGGGTGAGAGTGTGGTCTTTTGTCACCATGGCTTGCCATGAGCAATGTGGCAGTGTGACTGCTTGGCCATTATGCTGCCAATTAAGGGCCACACCAGACTGCTGTTGCTTGACTTGGTGTAAGATGGGCTTTTAAAGACAATGCAGGGATAAAGAATACCAGTCTTTCAGCGGATGCCTGCTGAGTGGTGAGTTGTTCTAAGGACAGTGCGTTGCACAATAGGTCTAGAAGCTGATGATAGGGACACCATAGGGGCAGACGGGGTCGATAATGAGACAAGCTTGGTGAGATATGGGAAGAGATCTTGCAAGGCCACATGGCAAAACCCATCAAAAAACTCAGATCAACCGGCACTTTGCTGAACAAATGTAAATTTAGCCCAATGTCTACTTTCTCGTACATAGCTTTGAATACAAATCCTCAATAAAGGGTTTGGATATTTGGTAAATGAACAATAAACAGAATTAAACATTTCATGTGTACATTTATGTAACTTATTGCAAAGTTGAGAACCAGGTCTCTCATGATTCCAATATCATTCACAAACATTTGTACAACACTACTTATTACTGGCAAGTATTAATATAAATGGTATGCTGTTGATGTTCATTGCAAGCAGTTTGTTTCTGTGGCTAGTTTTCTGCTAACAGTTGATTTTGCAATTTGTGTAATACTTAGTGTAATTTCAATTTTATTTAAACGTCCGGAATAATTTGTAGATATTGCACGTTTAAAAGTAGAAATTGTAACATTTCTTTCCCAACTTCTCACTTGATTTTGCTTGATAGAAAATCGATCCCTTGTAACCCCAAGATAGCCTCACTGGACTTCTCGTGTGATTCTGCCATTTCCCACCAGAGTCCCCATTGTTTAGGCTCCTGCAGGATTCCATTCTACATGTTTCTTTTGAGGAACTGGACAGGGTTCTTCCATTCTTTTGCAGGGTGTTTGGGAGCTGTTGAGGTGCAGACTGAAGGTTCCCTTATACTGGCAGATACCCTAGTGCCAGCCCTGATTACATATATGCATCATACCAACTTTTACATTAGAAGAAAGTTGTGAGATGAGGGGTAAGTGTAATGTCAGATGGTGGATTCAACTATGAGCATACAATCACCTTCAGTGCTCTCAGCAACACCACTGCCTGATCACAGACTGCCATGGCTGTAAAAAATGGTAACCTCCATTGGGTACCCAGACCTGCAGCCATTCCTATGACTCACCCATTAGCTGCTCACTGCCAGTTACGTGTCACCTCAGCCTGGCTTGTCAGTGAGTATGGTCCAAACTATTGGATGTGGTCTGCGTGTCATGGCTGAATAGCTGCCTGTGTGAACAAGTGGTGAAATACAACTGTGAAGCTTGCATGTGCC